TTAACACACCCACTTTTGCTCTACGGACCTCTACATCTGCAATTAGTAATTGCCCTTTCTTCTTCTTCATCTCGGCATAAGGCGGCGACGAGTGATCAGTTCATCACCTATGCTTGCGAGGGAACCACCTAGAAAGGTTCTAATACAAGCAACCTCCGAGCAGCTAACTAGGTGGGAGCCTTCTACCGTCTCAGTCTCTGCCATTGGGACCTCTGGATGGGAGGATGACAGTCTGCTTGCATCCAGAGTCCCTGTAGAGGCAACTGCTACCTCTACTAGCTGTTCCCTTTTGGGTACTGATACTCGAGACAGAAGGGAACAATGGTTGGCCGCCTTATGCTCAGCCCACATTTTCTCATCAATCCCCATCTGTTCCCAAGGTTTGCCTACAGTGATCCCGGGATGGGGTGGATATGGCCGCCAATTGTTGTTTCCTCTACCTCTACCCCCTATGGAGAAAAGGCCTCTACCGCCTTGCAAGGGACCATTACCCCTACCTCCCACATGGTAGCTACCTTCTCTAACACCCCTTTGGCCAGCAGGTCCTCTTTCTCCACTTCGGCCGCGACCTCCTCTTCCTCTACCACAGCCTCGTCCTCCTTGTCGCCCTCCCCCACGGGCGGCAACATCCGCATAGTCCCCTCCCTGGGCTAAGTGACTGTTGCTATCTTCGTCCAATCCATAGTCTATTTGGTCGTAGGTTAGTGACTCGACACCTCCTTCCTCAAAGGTGACGAGTAAGTAATCTTTCTCTATTATATTACCGGAGATCGTCCGATGTCTCCACTTCTTTCCCGCCTGCAGGTCCTTCCAATAATGGCAATATTGTGGCTCTTGCAGGAAGCCAGCATGATCCACTGCGATCTTGCTAAACTTCTCGTAGGTCATTCCCTCTTCCTTCGTGCGGGGATATAACTGAGTTTTTAGGGGATCTGGGAGCGCCCTAGCAAAGTTATTCAAAATCTGCGCATGCGTCAGTCCATGGTCCGGACATTGCAGTAACTCGTCCATAGTGGCCTTGAGTGCTGACACACTCTTCCACTTGCGGTCACTAATGTTGAGGATCATGGACTCTGTCCTATGGGCCAGGTTTTTGTCCTCAAACCTTTCTCTCATGGCCTTGAAGAAATCTTCTATGCGCATCTTTTGTGAATACTGAACCATACACGTACAGTCGGCCTCTTTCGTTACTAATTGCATCACCTGACAAACACAAACTCACCATTAGCACACGGTCCCAGCATGGTATTTTCTGCGCATAGAGGTAAGTGTCCATTGCGGCTTCCCATTGGAAAATACTTTCTTCCTTCTTCCCCGTATATGTCCAGGGTATCTTCACCTTCATCTTTTGCCTGGACTCCTCTGCATCTTGGTCTCCCTTCTTCTCGGGACCTTTTCCCTTCTTGTCTCCATCATCACCATTATCTCCTCCATCTCCTCCCCCGCCTGCAATCCTCAAATGTCTAACTACGGCAGGGTCGGTCAGCTTTTTGACAAGGGCTTCGTCTAGCCGCTTTACGTACCCAAGGATACGGTCATCTATTTGGTGGGAAGCTGCGCTCAGGAAGTTATTCCAGGTTCCCTCAAACTCTCCCGGATGGAGTTCCAGTTTACTGACGGATCGATGGGGGGAAGGGATGTTGCTGAGCGTGTGGGAGATAAAAGCAATGTAATGACCCGCCAAAAACACAGACTGAGAACATTGCTGATTTTTGGGACTTGCCACTGGAATGAATGCCTTGCTGAGATTCCCGCATTTTGCTGTGATTTCCATGTCTGTGTGTATGCGTGCCTGCTGGTTTGCATGCCTGTCTGAGTG